TTACTAGTTTTCAAGCAGAATCAGACAGGAGCTGATGACGGTTGGATTTGATTTCAGGATGGAACAGTTTGTCCCTTTTATACCAACGGCTGTGTGGAAGGGATGGCAGCAGACGTAGGCATGGGGTGATTGTAGAGAGTACGCAGGCTGTGTAGCGCTGTAGATGTGCTCATCTGTGTGAACAGCACACACTACACACACACTATGCAGTACTGTAGATGTGCCCATCTGTGTGTGGGCGCCCACGCAGCAGCAAACAAGTGCATCCCAAAGCGGCAGAGGCCCCAGTGTGCCCCCTACAGGCCAACTACTGCATGCACCCATTCAGTCAGTCATAGCCCAGCTGAGAGCTGAGGTGAACATGAGCAGGACTAGCATAGACAGTCAGTGCAGCGTGCCTGGCATTGCAGTCATGTACATGCATAGTGCACAGTAGCACCCCTGCACAGGAAATTCACTGTGTGCCCAGTGGTGCTCAGTGTACAGATACTAGTACAAACATGTGTGTACAGATACTAATACTGCAGTACTGTAGTCACATCCATACACTGTACACCCAGATGGCCACTTACACACAATTACACACAGTATGTAGCACTGTACGTAAGTATTACACTGTAACACTGTAACACAGTCTGTATCGTAGACACCATGCCTGTGTCAGTGCGTGGGGTACACACCCAGCTACTACTAGTATGCTGTGGACTGGTGTGCGTCAATGCTCACTTTCTTGCACATAGCCATTCAGTTCAGCTACAAGGCAGAACACTTATAAGTGGGCATGAAGAGGGTGACAGGAAGTACTCCATTGACAGTGACGGATTGAGAGTTGCTGGGCCGGCATGGCTGGGCAGAATGTATGCATACATCATAGCCACCCACATATCTAGCTGCAGGGTGCCCCGATATCAAGCAACAGTTTTATTTTCAATATCGTCCAGCAAATGATCACACAGACACACAGCCAGCAACCAATACAACAAAACAGGACTTTACTCAAGTATGACACAGTCGCAGTGAGCAGATGCAGCAACAGGAATAACAGTAGCCTCAAGACATGCCTGAGTGCCACCGTGGCACGCAAGCCAGGGCAGAGGTGCTCTTGCTAACACTGTACGCCGTGGCATTGGCACTCTGGGAGGTCAAAGCACGCCATATAGTACGCCGTGGCATTGGCACTCTGGGAGGTCAAAGCACGCCATATGCAGGGTGATCATATCATCACTATGCTCCCACTATGCAATTTTTTTGTCTTTGCCTGTGAGCTGTGATCATTGTAAAAAATAAATAAATAAAATAAAATAAAATAAACCCACACCAACACACTCAGAATGCCCAGGGAATATACTGCACATTACCTGTAGTGACATTTACATTAAAACTCCTTACATAACGTCATTATAATTATGTTACAAAGTTACTTGGAAATCGCTTCAGCCCACGACAACCACTTGAGGCACATTACACCGAAAACACGCGACATGACTCAACATCCCCAACCGCCCCCCCCCCCCCCCCCCACATTTCGACGCCAATAGGCAATAAATCTTCTTCTTCCTCTCACATCCGTGTCTATTGGTCAGCATCATCACTAGCTTGTAATGTCACACAGATAATCTTCTCAAACACATGCCGCACTTGAATAGAACCCGAAAAGAGCACTTAAACCTGACATTCATCCTCGCAGTGCCTGAAGATCTACAACTGAGCTCTTCCCAGGATTCTGTGCAGATGTAGAAGCAAGTGAGGAATAAATGACGAATTCCAAGGAGAGTCTGAGGAATAAATGATGAATTCCAAGAGTCTGTTTTCCTTCGAAACTTTAATATGGTCAACGATGAGGAATTTGGCGGGCATCAATCGAGTTTCAGACAAGTGTGAAGTAACTTCCGAAGTACACGAGTCACGGCAGTAAGCTGAAGATATACATTGTAGATAGGTGGGCGCTTCTTGGGGACTATTCCCAATGAAATACTCATGTGAAGGGACATGTTTTCACTGTTGTGAGCGGAGCTGATCTATGCTGATGCCCAAGTGTTTATCAGCACGTCTTCAGAAGCATTGGTGTGCGTACGGCTGTGTCAACAAGCATCAACTCGCCGTCGCATCACTGTCCATGGTGGGCATACTATCATCATGGACAGGGAAACACATACATGTATTTCCGACAGCTGGGATCATGATGATGAGGACGTGAAGGCTACAATTATCAGGGTGCTGCTGAAGAACACAGAGCCACAATATCATCACATGCACTTTACTGACATCTGTTAAGCTTCCACATTTTTTAAAGTGAAGAATGAGACCCACATGACTGCATATGACTGTACATGTATGAGAAGAATGGAATTCATTTTGCCGTAATTCCGCGCATATAAGCCCATGGGCTTATATGCGGGCTTATATGTGAAATAATGTAGTTTGGGGATAAAATATCCAGTAAAACGTGTTCGTTTTTTAGCCCATGGGCCAATATTCGAATTTTGAAGGTTCACGAAAA